TTTGCGCAAGGGGGGTTTGTGCAAAATGGCAGTTCATTAAGTATGCAAATATATCGCTGCAGCTTATTTGTGTATGTTCCTGCGCAAGACTGGCCAGTGTAGACGTATCCAAGGTGGGTTGTGCAAGACTGGCCAGTGTAGATGTATCCACGGTGGATGAGACTGTATCTCTTATTGGACCGATTTCTGTTGGTGAGAGAGACAAGCTTTTGAACTAACACAGAGCTTCTGATTTGGGAAAGTGTCAGCTGAATACAAGACCAAATAACTATTATCAGTGTTGCCTCCCTCAAGGGTACAAATAACTATTATCAGTGTTGCCTCCCTTAAGGGTACCACTGTTCAACATGTTGCCACATTGATCCTTGTCCATCCCACACTCACCCACCTCCAATAAGGCAGGCTGCGGGAGTAGTAAGCATCTGGTCTTGGGTACGAGCCTTTCATTAGCTGAAGGACCAGTGTAGGAGGAGTATTGCACATGTAACTAGTGCGATCAGTCCATCCTCCCAGACACATCAATGCCCAATAGGTTAGTTGTGGATGCACTCCATCATCCTGGAGCCGTCCCCTTGCTTAATAATTTGCTCCCATAATAGGAAGTATAAATGTATCCCTTGACAGTGGCAATGTTTCTTCATTTGTCTGCTTCCTGGAAAATCTTGACCTGCCTAGCTCTGTGTCACAACGTTAGTCTTCAAATGGAAAATTTGGCATACAATTGCCTCCAGTACAGTTATGACCTCATCTGCGACAGGCTCAGATCTCCCAAGTGAGGCGAGGCTTTTCAGAGACTATCACAGCAATGGGCAAGCCAGGTAGTGAGCGAGCTGCATGAGTTCTTCATCTCCATGGGCTGCAAGCTTGTCATATCTAAGAAGGTCTCCTGGGACAGGGTAGTTTTGCTAACTGCTTGCGTACCTAGAATGTTTGGGGTATGCCGATTGCATCTAATCAGAGAGCTGCTATGACTCAGAGGGAGCACGCAGCTTTCACAGTCAGTGTTGTGTGCAATCAGCATGCACCTCGCTTCACATGTTCTTGCTTTACTTGTGTGTCACTTTAGTAATGCTGGCAGGAAAAAAACTGGATGTAAACCAGCACAATCTGAAAATCTTGCACTTGGACAACTGTAAAGAAAATGTCTGATGGGCCGTACCTACAAAACTACCCTAGTCTGGGAGACCATCTTAAGACCATAAGAACATAAGAATGGCCATACTGGGTCAGACGAAAGGTCCATGCAGCCCAGTATCCTGTCTGTCAAGGGTGGCCAATGCCAGGTGCCCCAGAGGGAGTGAACCGAACAGGTATTTATCAAGCGATCTTTCTCCTGACATCCATCTCCACCCTCTGACAAACAGAGGCTAGGGACACCATTCCTTAACCATACTGGCTATTAGCCATTAATGGACTTACCCTCCATGAATTTATCCAGCTCTTTTTAAAACCCTGTTATAGTCCTAGCCTTCAAAACCTCCTTAGGCAAGGAGTTCCACAGGTTGACTGTGCGCTGTGTGAACAAGAACTTCCTTTTATTTGTTTAAAACCTGCTGCCCATTAATTTCATTTGGTGGCCCCTAGTTCTTATATTATGGGAACTCATGATTTTATAGACCTCTATCATATCCCCCCTTAGTCTCCTCTTTTCTACACTGAAAAGTCCCAGTCGCTTTACTCTCTCTTCATATGGGACCCGTTCCAAACCCCTCGTCCTTTTTGTTGCCCTTTTCGGAACGTTTTCTAATGCCAGTATATCTTTTTTGAGATAAGACGACCACATCTGTACGCAGTATTCAAGATGTATGCGTACCATGCTTTTACATAGAGGCAATAAGATATTTTCTGTCTTATTCTCTATCCCTTTTTAAATAACTTCTAACATTTTATTTGCTTTTTTGACTGCCGCTGCACACTGTGTGGATGTTTTCAGAGAACTATCCACGATGACTCCAAGATCTCTCTCTCTTCCTTGTGCCACTATCCACGATGACTCCAAGATCTCTCTCTCTTTCTTGTGCCTCAGGTTGTCCACCACTGCTGTATCAAGTGCCTTCCAGTAAGACTATTTGTCTTTCCAGCCAACCTTTCAGTAGCATTATAGCTTGAAGGGATATGGATGCCTTGAGGCATGGTGGCTTTCAGTGATCCAAGGAACACATCTCTGCAGTATAAAATGATTCTGTTCCCCAGCAGCAGCGATAAGAACAGAAGTGAGTTGGATAGAATCTCACAGGGAGCATTAGAACAGCTGTGTCTTGTGCAAAAATCCAAAGTTCAGTAGCACCTCTCTGCCTGGTATTGATGACATGCAAGATATGTCAGCCTCCTCACAGGAGCTACAAAGAAACTCCACTTGACGGTGTGAGCTAATAGCTCCATTATGCCATAGCTCACATGCTGAAACTGTTTAATGGATGCCTTTGAGCTTACTGCTGAAGAAGCCCGTGTTCTGAGAACAGATGCCATGGGACCTAGTATAACACAATCTTTACTCACAGCTGGCACTTGTCCCCATATTTTTGACTTTTTCCTGATGCTCGATGTACTTGTCTTCAACCTTGACACATTCCGTTTATGGGTTCATTTATAGCATGTCAGATGCCACTGAGCGTTGTGTTTAACCTGCTCGTCTGCAGTAATATTCTCCCGAGCTACCAGTTAGCTGCTCTTCGTATCACCACTGATGCCTAAAAATGATCGAGACCAAGTAAAAACAACTATTTTGCAATAAATTATTTTGGGATTGTCATTAATGATGGGTTATAATGTATATTGGGTAACTATATGCATACCATTTTGCAGAGTCCAGTAATTTCTGGCTAGATGCTGATATCTTAATTAGTGGCTCACTACACCTCTTTTTGGTGTAATAAACAAAGCTGCTAATCGGAACAGCTTTTTTCTTCTTAGTGATAGCTAGGGTTCTGTGTCTGTCATGGAGATTGTAGAAGCCACAGTTTCTGTGACCTCTGTGACTTCTGCAGTGGCCAGTGGCTCTGGAGCCAATCACACTGGCTACTGTTTGGGTGGCCTGGGCTGCTGGCTCCAGGGACCACAGAAAGTGGTCCTGGAGGTAACAAAAGCAGTGTGGCAACCCCCAGCAGCAGTGATGGGACAGCCCCCAGAACTTGGTGCTGCATTTGTGCCCTTTCTGGCTCCCAGCAGTGGTCCTGGGAGCTGCCTCTCCTCCAGCAGCTGGTGCCACACTGGACTGAGCACTGGTTCCCCCAGCAGAAGCCCCTCCTCCCAGCAATGGTTTTGGGTAGGCCAGAGCAGCTGCTGCTCTGAGGCCCCTGTCAGTTGCTGCTACTGGCCCACCGCCACGGCCTGTTGGGGCACCCTCCCTAGCAGCAGCCCCCTGGAGTGCCCCCAAGCAGCACCCCTGGCTCCCTCCAGCAGTACCCCCCTCCAGATTTAGTTAGGGGCATTTATAATGTAAGTCATGGACAGGTCACAGTGAATTTTTGTTTATTGCCAGTAACCTTTCCAAGGCTTTTACTAAAAATACCGGTGGTTAAATCCTAGCCTTAATGATAGCAAATAAACTTGAAACCCTCTTTCCATTTATAGTAAACTGTAACATTGAGAAAACTGAGCAGGTATCAAGTTCGGTGCATTAACACAGTACAATTGTTCCACAGCCACTTCCACTTTGTGGAGGCTGCAGCAGGCTTAAGGTGCCTGCATCAATGTGTAAATTAAAAAAAAAAAAAACCTATTGGATTGTTTTTACATAACAGAAGTGTGGCAGGGGGGGGGGCC